TGTTTCATCCAATTCGGACCAGTGGATCGAAAGATATTAAGGAATTTGTGTTTTTCCTTATGTTTCATATGTTAACAATGCAAACATATAAAAGTATAAATAAAGATTTAGTTTGATTATAGTTATTAAAAATGAGATTTCCAGTTACAGGTTTTGTAACTTCAGAATAAAGATTTTTTTTTTTTTTTTTTTTTAATAATATGTCTTCAATTATTATTAAGAAAGTTTATTAGTTCTTAATTTTATATATACAAAGATGCATTGTAGTTATAAACTGTATTTTCACAAGTAAATCAAGCGAGGCTGTTTAAATATATTAGATTTTAATTTATATAACATTATAAGTCTTTAGAATTTAGGATCAACTTTTTTGCTTATATATTTTGAAGTTTATACATAATTACATTTTTATAATATATCGAAAAATTAATATTTGTATTGTCAATACAGTAGAGTTTTTATGCTATTATTATTTATTTATTGAAGATAATATTGATGTCTTTAACTATTTTAATTTTTGCATGTTACAACAATAATTTGCTGTCAAAAAAATTTTCTTTTTGTTATAAAGATTATATTTAAAAAAGCATTAACTGCAATATATATTTTTTTTCAAGAAATATTTTTAGATATTCATTATTTGTAATTCTTAATCTTATAAAATTTCTTTATAGACAATATTACGTATAAAAGTTTCTTGTTTACTAGGAATATTAGAATTCTTAATTAATGCTTTAACATTTTGTTGAGACTGAGCATGTGAGAATACAATATATAGTTGATCATATGTAAATACATGCTCAGAGAGATAAAGTCCCATATGAGATTTGATCTGACCTTGAGACTTATTGATCGTTATTGCAAATGCAAGTCTGATTGAGAATTGTTTTTTTTTAAAGTAAATAGAAGCTTAACATTGTTTGAAGGAAATAACAGTATTCTCAGAAGGAATATATTATTTCTTTTACAGTTGCCCATAGATATCTTAACTTCTATTATATTCAGATAAAAAGTTTGACAGATTAACCTTGTGCTATTGCATAAACTGTTTACCAGATCTAGGTTTCTAAGATATAAAATTAGTGCATCTATTTTCAAGTATAGCTTGTGTAGAGAAAGCTATTTGATGTGATAGAATTCAAAAATTCTTGCTGATAAAGTCTGCTTATATCATCTGTAACAGAATCATAACCATAGTATGTTATAGCATTACTGAGTTTTTGGTTTAGAACAATGTAGTTAACTTGATCGATATAAAGTTTTTAGTGATGAGAATTGCTCAGTTAGCAAAGTAAAAGGTATTTAAATTTTGACTAGGTGGAACTGAATAAATATAGTTTATAAGAGACTATAACGATTCTTCATTTTTCCAAAGAATAACTATACTATCAGGAATTCAGATTATGTCATCTTTGATCATGAGTTCAGTTTTATCTCCAATTCTTAAGAAAAAGTTTCTAAAGTCATCCTGATTATCACGAACTCTCATATTTCTGTTAAAGTAAAAAATTTTTGTTTTAGCACAGATAGGAGAACATTTTAGTGAAGCATTTATTATCTATGTAATTTCTATGTTATATAACAGGTAGTATTTGATGGAAGTCTCCACTAAATACTATTATTTTATTACCAAATAGAAGCTCACATTCCATTAGATCTTTAAGGGTCTGGTCTAAAGCTTCTACAGCATGATAATGCATCATAAGAATTTTGTCCTATATTATTAGTCTAGTTAGATGTAGTAGTGAAGCTAACTAGCTTTGTTTACTGATAGTACATGTTGAGTCTGAATCAAGAGTTAAAGGTATATTGAATCAGGAGTAGACAGTTCACCCTCCAGATATAATTAATACAGTGATATCAGATGAAGCTGTAGCAAGTGCAACAAATAAACATGACTGAACCTGCTAAACAGACAAAGATACAGAAAAGTTTTTCCAGATCCTGCAGGTCTATTTACAAAAAAAACACCAGACTTATTTTTTCTGATATGATCTACAATCTCATCAAATATTTTTCTTTGATTTTCATTCAATAGTTCAATCTTCCTTAAATCATCATCATTTACCAAAATATTTAATTCTTCTGTTAACAATTTTTGCAAATTTTTCTGAATTTGATTTTCTGGTAAGTTGAGTTAGAGAAAATTGTATTCACTTAATTTTCTATGATATTGTTTCAGAATAATCTTTATTTGAAAAAGAATAGAGTTTATTAAAAGTTGTTCATTTATAATACCTTTTTTAGCAAAATCTTTGGACATAGTGATAAAATTGTCATCTCATAATGTTTGAACATTCCCCAGTTCTCCAAAAACTAATATGATTGCAAATAACTGTCTTAGAGCATAGGGTATTTTAAAAAAAGCAGCTTCTCGCATAGCATTATGATACGAATTTTCTACTTCTATAATCCCACACATCAGAGCACTTTCACAAAAAGTTATGCATACATAATTTCTAATATTTTTAAGGTCAGTAAATGAAGTAGCACCTTTTATATAGTTAAGAAATAATCTTAAATAATATTTTTCTCCTGCATTTGGATTTATCAAATATATTCTTTCTATTATATTCCTATGATGATATTTTGTCTATTTCTTATTAGTCTTGTTGCAAATATAGTAATGCAAAAATTCACGAAATAGGTAATTTCTGGTATTAACATCAGTCACATTCATTTTAAAATATTTTGTTAATATTGTTCTCTCATTTTTATTATTATTAATTACATTTTTAAGATTAGCATCTTGTGAAAAAGTCACAGTTTGTTGATAAGGAAGATGAACTTGTAAGTGAAGTAACAAAGGATAAATCCATGATATTTCAAACCCAAAAATTTACCAACAAGCTTCTGAAGCAGAAATCCACTGAGCATTTAAGTACTTACTAATTTTACCTTCATTAGTTATATTTATCGTAGCTTTGTTATAACCTTTATAGATATATTTATATAAGTATTTGATCAATTTTATGCTAAAACAAATTTTAATATTAATGTAATAGTCATATTTGAAAATCAGATAAAGGTTGTAGGGAACAACCTAATGGTTGTCCAACTATATATTTCTGCAAAAAGCTTTTTGGCCATTATTATGATGTCAATATAACAGGTAAGAATCATTACTTTCTCTTGTTACTTGAGCAAATTTTTTAGAGTAATGTTTAGAATATGTACTATTTTTTATATATAGTGCTCTAGTATTAAAAGATCCACATAGCCCATTTATCATGTTAACAGTAATAGTTTGATGTAATCTTAGATGCATTGTTGGATTAGTATCTCAGAGGAAATAATTATATTGTAATCTTTAGTTCCATAAGGTTTATTGTCAGGATGAATTATTACTAACAAATATGTATGAGAAAGTCTATATTTTTGAAATTCTATTATGTACATATAGAAGATTACATGACCAAATATATTCTTTTCTAAGATATCTTTTAGTATTTCCTTCAATTTAGTATGAAAGATTTGAGCTACATAAAGAAAAAAGAAAAATCTAATTTATTTTGTTTTTATTAATTAATATATATTTAATCTAACATTTAAATTTGACATGTTGAATATTATAATTTAAATTACTATTAGAAGTTATCATATATTTTGATGAAAATATATAGGCTTAGTGCTAAAAAAGAGCTGATAATATCAAAAAAAAAGATCTTTAGGAAATCAATTCTTATATTATAAATCTTATGATAAATCATAAGAAAATGCTAATTTTAAAAAGCTATACTCAAAATTTTATTAATATAACTACTTTGTATCTTTATTGAAAAATGATCCTAATTTAATTACAAATTAATTTATGTAAAAAAATTCATTTAAAAAATAGTCATTTTTGTCTCTTTTCT